GGGGGGGGGGGGGGGGGTAGCCCCCCCCCCCAGTTTTTTGGGCAGTCGGGCAATATTCGATTAACAGTCGGGCAATTTTGGGTTGTTATAAAAAAAAATCGGACAAATTTAGTAAATTTTGTGGCAAATGTAGTGTTTTTTTGGAAAATTTATGTGATCCTCCGAAAAATTTTGGTATGTGCGGAAAATTTTTTTGACCCCTTATATGGTACACTGACCGAAATTTTTCTGGCGACGGGGGGGGGGGTGGATATACCTGCACCAATAAAGATTTTCATAAATGGAATCAAACCCCAACAGAAAAAGCCCATCTCAAATTTTGCAAACTACATCTTGGATTACATGGCAAAGTCACTAACGCTGCCTCTAGAGGAGAACTAGGCAAATTTCCCCTTTCGTTAGATATTCATAAGAGACTCATTAAATATATCCTTAATATTAATTCACTTTCTAATTCAACCATCGTTAAACAAACATTCATCATGTCCAAAGAACAACATTTAAACAACCAACAAGGTTTTTATTCTAACGTAATGAAAATATTGAAGTCATTTGACCAAACCTCCCAGATAAATAACCTGGAAATGCTCACACGCCACCATATAACCTAAATTACATTTCCTTTCGACGTTTAAATCGGAATTTAAAATAGAAGAGTATCTCAACCAAGTTAATAACCCAACGTATAGGAGGCTACTCACACAGTTTCGTGTGAGTTGCCACACGCTGAATATTGAACAAGGAAGATATCGCAAAATCCCGCGCGAGCAACGTTTCTGTGAATTTTGTGATGCAAAAGAAATAGAAGATATGAATTCCATTTTTCACTTTCTTGCAAATATTATGAACAACATAGGAAAGACCTAAATTCCATTCTCAAAACCAAAATGAAAACACCAATTAACTTTGAAACAAATGACGACTTGTTATATTTACTATCCCCCAATGATCCAGATCTAGTAAACATTTTTTCGAAATACATTTTTGCATGTTTCAAGAAACGAAACGAATGCCTTGACACCAGGCTTATTCACAATACTTAACGTAACTTGCTTATACAGTATTATGTAAATATGTTACTATTCAAATGTAAAAATTAAAGCATTTATATGCTTATTGTAAATTTATATTGTTCTACTGTTAGAGCTTTAGCAAGCCTTACAATAAGGTCATGCTTATAAAGCCAAATAAAGCAAAGCAAAGCATTGTTTTAATATGTCAAGCTGTATTTCCGGTCGAGGCTCTCGCGTAAAATTTAGATTTGTATTTTTGTTATATGCCATGGCTATGCATCCGGGCTGAGTTTAGTCAGAGCGAGCTATATTTATAGTCAACCCGGGTTGAAATAATGAAGTTTCAGCCCGGGCAGCTCAATGCGGCCTGAAACTCATCCCGGGCTCAGTGAAACTCAGCCCAGGCTGGAATTTTGGTCATGTAATCGCTTGCTGTGTTTTAATAGGATTTTATCCTTAGGCGGGGCTGAAATTTCAGCCCGGGAAACCGGGATGAAACTCAGCCCGGGCTGAAAACTCTTCATGTAATCAGCCCGGGCTGAAAACTCTCCATGTAATCAGCCCCTTAATAGACAAACAATTTACCCGTAAAATTTCTAGTTCAAGATCTATTCAATTTATAAGATCATATCTGTGGATTGTATTAGATAAAGCAACAATTAAGAAATTATTGATGTCTCGATTTATGGTGGAAATATTTCTTGTATTAGTCGGGTAATTTTTATCAACGTCGGGAAGCCCCCGTATGCCTAAATGCTTCTGATCGCATGATTTTCCTCATTCGCATATGAAAAGACTGCACCAGTTTGATTTTACCAAACATAATCTGGTAAGAAGAATTAATAAAAGACTTGTAAATTATTGCCTATGAAAACAAGACTGATAAATTCCAGCTGTTCAACAAAGACAATATATAATGCGTCTACCAAACTTATAATCAGGCAGTCACCTCAGTCTTCAGTTTACATATTTTCAGGGGCGCCGGAGCCACGGGGGCAGCGGGGGCAACTACCCCCGTTGCCGAAACAGTGCGAGGGCAGCACGGGGGCAACAGGTTGCCCTTTTTCACCAGAACTGCGCTTCGAAATTTGTGCGGTATTCACATGAATTGGAATTTATAACTATTTTTCAGCAATGTTTAAGCAATCGTTGCTTAATTTTAACCAGTGATAGTAAAATTAATGCCAGAGGCCGCGGAATCACTTTTGTATAATTCAGTATGATCAAAATCAAACGATTTTATGTCGTTCACGAGCGGAACGAAAAAGTTTTGAAAATATGGAGTCCCTACAATGTCGGAAATGGCCTTTACAGAGTCTTTACTACTGCAAAAAGGGCACTTTCTTTCTAGCCCCCCAAAAGGGCATTTTTTCACTTTTAAAAAAGTGGGGAGGCACATATGCCCCCATTGCCTCCCCAATTCCGTTGCCCCTGATTAATGTTAAATCAGGCAATATACGTCCGTTTACTGATTTTATTTTGCGCCCTTAACATGGTGCAACAAATAAAATTGTTCAAAATTAATGTCCAAGTTTGCCGACCCACAATAGCCACAAGTAAGTGCCGCTCAGAAAACTGATGGCTGAGAAGCAAGTGCTTTTGTGATTGGTTGATTATAACAATGACAAAAGAATAAAGCGAAGCAAGAACAATATTCCTTTGGTTTATGTAAGCCAATTACGTCTTTTGTCATTGTCATAATCAATCAGTCACAGAACATCTTCCTAGAGCTTCGTGCTTACTGTATAATGGCGAACACTGAGGGAAAATCAATACCAAAAAAACAATGCGACGATACAGGAACCGGAACCTGGAACAAGATAGATGTCCAAGGTACAGTATTTTGTCTAATAAGATATAGACTACTAAAATATTGTATATTCAAAGTATGCCTTTGCTCGAAACGTCGACGTTCTGCTTGCATTTTTCAAGTAGTTGTGTGATCTCTCTCAATCCTATAGCTGTCTAGGGCAGTGCCGGGCTATTAAAGTTTGGCACTATGCCTGTCCCCCACTCCACACATCCACTGATCTGGAACACTCTGGAGTGGCTACAATTTAAAAGACGAGCAGTCTGTATCAGGTTTAGGGCAAGTTGTGTGGATTGTCAAACTAACCGTTAAAATATTGCATTATTGAATGTGACTGTAGTAGTTGTCTATAATCTCGCCATAAATGGCTGGTAGACGACTTGGTCATATGGGTCTCGAAGATCCAGCCAGGATCACATTTCACGGGCGTCGCGAACAAAAGATGAATTGGAACACTATTGCTTTTGCTCGATGTGTGGTTTACACTGACTACATACGGCAAGTAGGAATGTTTCTTCTTTATTACTGGTATCTCGTTGACACTCTCAAACTGAACAATTTTAATGTAAGAAAATTTTGGAAAAGAACCAAAGACATTCTTAGCAAGCGGACAATTTATTACCGGTGAGAAATATATTGTCAGTGGCGGAAATTCACTTTTTTCGGGGGGGCGAAGCCTTCTAAATTTCCGACAAAACTTTCAAATTTCCGACAACCCCCCCCCCGCACTCGAAAAGGCTGTTTTTATTCTTTATAGGTCAAAATTTCCGAAAATTCGTCATTTTCCACTTAGGGGGGGGGGGCGGCCGCCCCCCGTCCCACCGAGATTTCCGCCACTGTATATTGTATGAACTAACTGGTTTCCGTAATAAGAGCTCATCTTTCTAAACCTCGTCAATTTTGTCCATAAAATGGCACCGGTTCGTTTAGTTCTTAATTGGCTGCAAGGATAGTACAGGAAAAACAAGCTAGGTTGTTTAGAGAAATGGATTGTGACCTGAAAACGCCATCAAGGCTCTTAGGATTAGTGAAACAACTAGTGAACAGCTAAAGAGAATTGAAAGAGATGGAACACAACAGCCGGCAATCAATTTTGTAAAAAACTAAGCAACCACTAACAAACATGATGCGTAGAAACACGCACGGCCAAAGAAGAGCAATACAGTTCGAAAGCAGAGAAAAGCTGGACAGCAGTGCAGATATTGTGGAAGGTGACATGAAAGAGATAAAAAAATGTCCACCAGAAGATTTGCAAAATCCAATCACTTTCAGTCGGTGTGCCTGCTAAAGCATGTCCTCCAACATTTGCAAGAAGTATCAAGATCGGATGAAGTGACAGCTTATTACATTGAAACAGTGCAAACAGTAGAACAGTTTTCTGTACCGCTTCGATTCTAAGATGATTGTGGCGAAACTTAGTTCAGTATGAACAGGGTGTCAACTTCACAGTTCAGTGTGAACAGGGTGTCAACTAGATATGAAGCACACTGGAAAGCCTGCTATGCGACCAACAACTACAAAACTGAGACTGTATGATTAAAGTATAGTACAAGAACTAGGAAAATGTGATTTTCAATGTAAATTCAAGGATGAGCAGCATTTATTAAATTTGTCAGTACAGTAGTACTCACTACTTGTTGTCAGTTGAATCCTGCACAAAGATGGATTCATAACAGTACATGTACTAAACAATGTTAACATACCTTCAGCAGTGGAAGAACCACAAGATATCTTACAAGGATGTGTTTGAGGAATTGGGCTATCTCCTTGGAGAATACCATCTTGAGGTGGACCTGAGCGTCACTACTGTGAAAGGCGAAGGCAACAAGTTACGACTGGGCGTAGATCCAAGAGACTTGAACAAAGCTTTCAAACGCTCTCACTACCGAATGCCGACGATCGAAAAAGTATTGCTAGAGCTGTTCTACAAGAATCTATCCGATTTTTAAGCAGAATTTGTCCGAGTGAATAATGATTGGCAGCAAAGGAACAATTCGCAAACAGTGTCAATTCCACAAGCTCATTGCTGGACGAGGGGGAGACAGAAGAAGAAGCACTGAAAGACCATGACCTGAACCACCTGTAAAGATGAACAACAGTGGATCAATAAACCATAGATATCTTATATACACTAGATAGCGAATCTCTTTCAGTAAAATTGAAGCCAAGAATATTCCAGCGGTTACCCCCATTTGAATTGATGGCAGCCATGTTGGTGTTTCCCACTCGCTAATAAACGCTTAAAAAGCAACAATAACTTTCATCATTTGAATAGTTTGAAAATGTATTTGGAATAGGCTTAACTTAATGTTTAAGTCCCCTGTTTAAGAAATAGAAAACATACGAGTTTTCTCATTTCATGGGAATATCCTGAGTCTGCAATCACGGCTTCAATTTTTGAATTGCAGAATAATTAGATGCACTATCTAGTGTATATAAGATATCTGTGTAATAAACCCCCAAGCGAACTGAATATTTAATAATTCACATTATAGGTCGGTGGACACGTCGCCGGATTATATTTTGTTTATATAGCTTGTAAGTAATATATATGATATCTTTCCAACATTAAAGTAACATTTTAATATTAAAAGGCATGAAAGTCCTGCATGGTCTGACAAAGGCCAGAAAACCTGGACCCATATGGCGATCTATGGTCTGGCCTAAGCCAAGCCTTGTAACAATTGTGTAATCGTTTCATTACAATTACATTGGTCTGGCCTTTGTTTAATTCAGACCAGGCTAGACCGCACATACAGGTACCTCGCAGTGTCAATATGGTTTTATAAACCAGGTTTATAGTGTTTTACGTTTGAAGTCCTGATCAACTTGCAAATGCTTTCTAAAAATATATATCAGGCTATAGTTGAGTTCTACGAACAAAGAAATGCTTATTGCGTTCGACGAAGGAGAACGCTTCCTAATCGTGACGTCACGGCTGGATGCTGTGTCATTTTGAGATTTTTGGACGTAACATTTGCCTCGCTTTCGTGTTCACGGCATTTGCCTTGGTTTCCGATTTCGTTTTGTGTTTCCAATTTTCCATGTGCTTTCCATATTTTGCGAAGACAGAAGGAGATTTTAGCTGTTGTTTTGGTTTTTTCCTGCGGTTTGTTGCAAGGTAATCAGTGGTGTTGTGTTATTTTTATTACACTTATCAAAGGTACTTATCAAAGCATCAAGAATTTGTCTTGCGGTGTTTTATCGATTGGCAATCCGACATTTCTATTTGATTTAACTTCGCTCTGCTTAAGGTAATGCCGCAGTTTTGCATTGCGCACTTTTACTGCGCACATCTTATAACTTATAATTTCATCAAAAAAAAATATCATTTTATGACAATTTTATGTTACTTCAAAACATCTTTGGTTACATTCGTGCAAAGAATTACGTTAAAATTAATGTTTTCAAAAAAGGCATACAAAAGTGTAGCTAGGGTCCTGTGTCTGTAGTATATTTACTACTTGTATTTCCACAGGCGGCCCAATCTTACCCTGTGTTATTAATTACGTTATATCTTTATATAAATAGTATATTGAAAATCATTAGAAAATCCTGTGTTATTAATTTATTACGTTATATCTTTATATAATACTGAGTATAATGAAAATCACTTACATGTGTTTCCTGAAAGATTTTAACGAGAACCGGCCAAGATTTAACGAGAACCGGCCAAGATTGGCGTTGACAAGAGGTTAACGGCCATAGTTGGGGTTGACATGAGGATTAACAGCAAGAAATAATACAAAGCTGGTCACTTTGACCGTTATTGGATTAATTGGAACAAACGTTGACAGAAATCAATCGAATAACGCGAACTTCGGCTGTCGCATCCTCGCCAAATTACGTTACATCGGAAGAGCGATAAATTTTACATAATATACTTTTCTTTAACAGAATTGGACAATAATCTTTCTGCAGAAAATGCCAATTGAAACAACTCCCCAAACGAATTCGCTCTCTTACCGGAAATGTCCTGTTGTTGTTTTGAAAGCCGACCAATGACAATGCAGCGTGTAATTCGAATTTGAAGGCCATGAATTCAGATCGATCACGAACATCGAGGTGTAATTAATCAAAATGGTGGAAGGTCATGGATTTTTTAACTCGTTCAATAATACAAATTTCAGACCAGAGAACGTCGATATGAATGCAATAAAGCTATTAAATAATGAAGCTAACCCAACCTATACTGGTGGTCGTATAAAGTGGACCGGTGACCTTAATTCATTAAATAATTATGTCGAAAATGTTATTGGTTTGACCGGCACTTGGAAATCACCTGGTGGAAATGCTAAGCAGTTTAAAAGTTCAACGTTTGATTTTACCTTGACCTGGTACCCGGGAAAGCAGAACTCGATATTGCTTCATGGAAAGGATGGTGAGCTATTCAAACAAATTCTGGTAACAGTTTTAGATACAGATCATATAGTAAGACAAGCAGATGCTATCTTAGACAGTTTATCAGTGAACACAGCGGAGCCGCAAGGTACCAACAATAATGCGAGCGCTCCCAAACTACTAAAAACAGCAGTTAAAGACTGCTTCTCAGACTATAATTCATGAAACCCCTCAATGTAAAAACTGCGGAAATTTGAGGGCAGAAATGTCTGAATTTGCTGAGAGACTGAATTGCTTATTCGATCTAACGCATAAAATTTACAACCTACTGGATAAATCGGCAACTACTGACCCACTTCCAAACTCAGGGCAAAGTTTGATAAACAAAAAAGACACTAACTCTGGGTATTGCGATCTTTCTGCTGACCTTGAGGGCGTTAAGTTAGATGTTGTAATAATCGAATCTAGATTCTCGAACAGCATTTCGGCAAATCAAAACGAGATTGGTAAAATAAATAAAGAGATTAATCACTTTCGTGATCAATTGTTCATTATGCAAAAGGAGCAGCAAAAGAATTACTGATCATGATGCAGTAATTAATGAATTATCCTCTCAAGCGTGTTCTTCACAGGACATTGCACTCGAGTATAATTATCAATCTGGTAATGCGTCAAATTATGATGCCGGTAATGAGGAAAACGAAAGCGGTAATTATTCTATGGTAGCTAATGTAGAATCCAGTCAAGAGGAAAATGCAAATTTTTAAATTTGTTTAAGTTTAAAAACGCCTCAATGCAGTCGAATAAAAGTTCTGAGAGAGAAATTTCTATAGTTTTGAGTAATGATGGTCATAATCCCGGCCTTGATGCTCCTACTCAGCTTGTAAAGCCAAATGAGATCACATCGTAAATTGCAACCCAGGAGCAATGTTTAAAGGCACAGTTCAGCCTTTTGAACAATGGTTTTTAAGGCGCATTTGAGCCCTTTTAATTGAAAAAACTGACTAGGAAAATCAATTAAGCATAATTCAAAATCAGTAAACTCGATGTTTTTAACAATATAAATGTTTTAAAATGTTAAAAACATTAAGTTTGCTGATCTTGAATTATGCTTAATTGATTTTCCTAGTTAGTTTTTTCAATTAAAAGGGCTGAAATGCGCCTTAAAAACCATCGTTCAACAGGCTGAACTGTGCCTTTAAATGATGTGAAATTGAACACTATTAGTGTGGGCGAGAATAATTCCGTTCCTGAGAGTCTAGCACAAATCCAATTACATATTTCAAATATTTCGAATAAAGCTCGTTACGCAAATAAGAGAAAGGATTGTAATGGCAACACACTATATTCATTAACACAGACAAAGTCCTCCGATAGCACACATAGCCAATTAAATGATAAGCAAAATGGATATACACGGCAACGCTTTTATCAGAATAATAACGCAAACCAGTCCAATTATAATAATAATCAGCAACAACCCATTCCCACCCGTATTACTACAAGGAAACGAGTAAAAAATTAAACATGGGTAGAAAATCCAATTCAAAACGAAATGAGTGCAAAAATATTTGTACTGATTATTGTAAGAGTAATATTTCAAAACCCTACGAACAGTCGAAAATTCGAAATGGGAATAATGGAAGAAATAACGAGGATTTTCGTACGGAATCATGGGGAAGAGACAAAATAGGGTGGTTCCAATTTTATTATTAGGAAATCATGTAATGAGTGCTGAAAAAGATGCAAATAGTCCCTCGAGAGATACTAAGAATACGGAACGAACTCGATCTGTAAATTTTAATAATTTAATTTATGTCAATTGTACAAGGGAACAGAAGACTTATTTTATGCCTATCAACTTTTGCCTGTTGAACACCAGATCAATAAATAGGAAAGAACTTTTTATTAATGATTATGTGTCTGAGAACGATATTGATATTCTAGCAATGACTGAGACATGGTTACGTGAGGATGATAATGAATTTTCTATTGCTGAAATCTGCCCAACGGGGTATCACTTTTATCACGTTACAAGGAAAAATGCACGAGGTGGAGGAGTTGGTCTCTTACTGAAGAAATATATTAAAGTCAAAAAACAATCTCAGAGAAAATTCTCTTCTTTTGAATATATTGATGTCACCTTGAACTGCCGTAATACCTGCACCAGAATGATTGTCATTTATAGACCACCCCCATCGAAGACTAATAAATTAAGCAGCTCAATATTTTTTGAAGAATTCTGCATATTTGTGGAACAGTTGATCATATTACCTGGCAATATATTAATGGCAGGAGACTTTAATTTTCATATAGATAACATTGGAGATTCAGATACTATTAAACTCAACAAGATACTGGATCGTTTAATTTACAACAGCACGTCAATGGGCCAACCCACAAGAAAGGCCACACCTTAGACTTGATTATAACAAGGAATGAAGATAAATTAGTGACTGGTATCAGAATACATGATCCAGTAATATTAGATCATCTTGTCATACATTGTACATTACAGTTAGAAAAACCACCATTAGAACAAGCTGAAATTTATTATCGAAAATTAAACAATGTAAACATGGATAGTTTCAATGAAGATCTAAAAGTACTAGATTTAAATGACGATTATGATCTTTCAGTCCTTATTGATAAATATGAAAATACGTTGAAAGAAACATTACAGCAGCACAAAAACGACGAATTATAACTCTTCGTCCTTTATCACCATGGTACAATGAGGAGATTGGTCAAGAAAAAAGAAATCGCAGGAAACTAGAGCGCCGCTGGCGCGCATCTGGACTATGTATTGACAGACAGTTATATGTCAAACAATGTGAGACAGTGAATGCCATGATAAAGAATGCTAAGACAACATACTACTCATCGGTTATTTCCAGTAATGCACATAATCAGAAAGTGTTATTTAGTATGGTTGATAAATTACTCCATCGAAAGCCAGAAAAGCGCTATCCAACTGCGTCATCAACGACTGAACTCGTGAATAAATTTGCAGATTTCTTCAATAATAAGATTGCTATTATATGGAAAGAACTAGCCATTGATTCTTCCCACTGTAATCAGCGAAATCAAGAGGAACAATATGCACAATGCGTTAAATTCATTAACTTTCAAGAAGTCGCGGAACATGAGATTGAAAATGTTATTGATAAAGTTGGTAAAAAATCTTGTGAACTTGATCCAGTTCCCGCAAAAATCTTTCAAGGTTGTCAGAAGACTCTCTTACCTATAATTACTAAGATTTAGTAGTGAGTCACTTCAGTCAGGTTGTATGCCTGAGAAACTAAAAGTAGCCGTGTTGAAACCAAAACTAAAGAAAGATTCGCTGGAGTACGAAGAATACACAAATTTCCGACCTATTTCAAATTTAAAATTCCTGTCTAAAGTAATTGAGAAGGTTGCTGCCGGTCAGCTTCTGGAACACTTGGCTAATAACAACTTAGAAGAACCCTTCCAGTCGGCATATAAACGTTTTCATAGTGCAGAAACAATCCTATTAAAAGTACAAAACGATATTCTTGTAGCCATTGATAATCGTAAGTGTGTGGTGTTGCTATTACTAGATATGTCAGCAGCATTCGATACTGTTGATCACGAACTTTTACTACAACGAATGTTCAAAAGATTTGGGATAGATGGGCAAGTGTTGAAATGGTTTCAGTCCTATCTTCAGAATAGAACGCAAGGTGTAGTGATTGACGGTGTTAAATCTATCTCTAATGACTTGCGCTGTGGAGTCCCACAAGTATCAGTTCTCGGCCCTATACTATATTTACTATACACTTGACGCCTTGGTGATATCATCAGAGGTCATGGACTTGATTTTCACTTTTATGGAGATGACTCGCAATTATATCTTGCTTTTGAGTCAACCATTGAGGGAAAATTGGGAGCACTAGCACAAATTGAAATGTGTATGAAAGAGATTGATTTGTGGATGGTCAAAAATAAATTGAAATTGAATGGGGACAAGACTGAACTACCAGTAATCAATGCACGAAATCGTTCTTGCCCTGCTGTAGAATATATAGAAGTATCTAATTCAAGAATTCAACCAAGTACTTCAGCACGAAACATTGGCGTAACTTTCGACCACCACATGTCTATGGATAAACATGTTACCAATATTTGCAAGAACTGTTTTTTAAGAATAAAAGAGTACTTATCAACGTCAGATATCCAAACTTTAGTTCATGCCTTAATTACATCTAAACTGGATAATTGTAATTCTTTATTATACGGATTGCCTAAATTTCTTATTGATCGGTTACAGAATGCGCAAAACTGTGCTGCTCGACTGGTGACAGGAAGCAAAAAATACGATCATTTCACGCTTTCCGAAAGTCTCGCAACATCCCGCGTGCATGTATCACGCAATCCTGCACGGAAAACCATTCGGTATTCCTTTAGTCGTAGCTTAGCTAAGATTTTAATTACAGTCCAACTTTGTTACCAGAGAAGTACCAGGCGGGAAACGAATTCTGATAATAAATATTAATGCCCAGCAAAGTGCTTTTAAAAGAGCCATAAACCATTAAATTTAAAAATTTTATTAAAGATTAAGTAACGTTTCGTCTTAACTCAAGACATCTTCAGACTAAATTAAATTACAAGCTGTAAGAGTAATTAAGCATAAAGTAAAGCTATTATAGCAATATTAAATTACAAGCGAATACGAGGTACACAAAACGTAAGGATAAGAATGGATAATGAAGGGAAGTGACGGACAAAAATGAGAACAACCAAATTAAACAACACAAACAGACAAAACATAAAAAAAAGAGATCAGAATACGTGAAGAGGGATTGAACTGCCTTGAACGTTGAGAGAGGGTTTTATTAGCATTTTAGAGATAAAAATTATTATAAAGCATTTTAGAGATAAAAAAGCTTTCATGAATAAGGAGTTCTTGTTCATCTGAACAAGAGGAGAGGATTTCAGATGAACAAGAACTCCTTATTCATGAAAGCTTTTTTATCTCTAAAATGAAACCCTCTCTCAACGTTCAAGGCAGTTCAATCCCTCTTCACGTATTCTGATCTCTTTTTTTTTATGTTTTGTCTGTTTGTGTTGTCTAATTTGGTTGTTCTCATTTTTGTCCGTCACTTCCCTTCATTATCCATTCTTATCCTTACGTTTTGTGTACCTCGTATTCGCTTGTAATTTAATATTGCTATAATAGCTTTACTTTATGCTTAATTACTCTTACAGCTTGTAATTTAATATAGTCTGAAGATGTCTTGAGTTAAGACGAAACGTTACTTAATCTTTAATAAAATTTTTAAATTTAATGGTTTATGGCTCTTTTAAAAGCACTTTGCTGGGCATTAATATTTATTATCAGAAATAGTCCAACTTAATAATAATTATGAATATGTGCGTTGTATATTGAAGTGAAATTCTTCAACTTAAGTACCAAAGGCGGTTATTTTTTGTATTTGCTCATTTTTTATCCATTTGGCATGAAGAAGATACCATTGAACAGTTAAAAGCATGATCTTTCCGAATGTGAAAAATCTCGTTCATACGCATAGGAATTCAGATACAATAACGCGCTGAAGTTCCATTACTTTTTTTGATATTTTTGGTATATTAACGATCTTGCATTCCTCTAAAATACGTAAATCAAAGTTATAAATGCAAGTAATAAATTAAAGTATAAATATAAAATATTTATCAACATCATCATTATCAATTAAAAATGTGCTGGTAATTGATCGTTTAAGGAATACCCGTCGACTAAACCAATTAATAATCCCAACCGGAGTAATAAAATGTGCAAAAATATTCCTTCTTTGATGCTTAGCATTCCGTCGCTCTTAGAGGGCCAAATATACCTGTCATTCCCAGCATTTTTTTCGGCAGAAATCGAAGAACTTTAGGGAAATATCTGTCTGGACCAAATAATAATTTCAATCATGATAGAAATTTCAGAGCTAATCAATCTCGCAACCACATCGCGAGAAATCAAAACTGTTTTTTACGACGCACTTCGAAGCATCGTTCTCCGGGCTGGCAAGCATATTTGAGCCTTGTCATGCAAGTATAACAAGGACTTGACTGGTAGTCAAACTTTCGACCCGCGCGAATTATTACGAAAACGATAAAGCCACCATACATAGACATACAAATTCTGATGTACGGAATGATAAAACGATTGAGTTAGTCCGTTCACGCAACCGTGACCTTATGCGAAAAGCCATAAAGGCATATAAAGTAATCAATTCAATTCAACACATATTGTCTTCATTTATTGTCTTCATCAAATATAATCCTGAATTGTTAATATTAGTAAAATTGTAAAATTTGGTTACAAAATGTTGTGTTATACGGGAAATATAGCTTTCCCAAGTTTGCAAATTTTGTATGATGTACTGTACCGAATATTGTAGAACGAAAAAGCGTCCGGAAATTGCTTTCTTGTTGACCAGATACGATCTTCAAATCACAATTACTACATGAATAAACAAGGTAATAAAGAACTTACGACAAGTGTATTTTTAAACGTTGGTGCGTATAGATCTGTCACTGCTGCAGCGATTCTTTGACTTCCCCCTAGTGCTTGAACTGAAGTTGACATAAATTTCTGTTCTGATTTTTCCTGTGATCCACCTTTAGTGCTGCTATACGCGCCACCACTGGCAAAAAGACCTTTGTATTCCATCTCTGCTTCCACTGCAAATTCCTGTTTAGATGACGTTGATATACCATTTTGGAGCTTTCGTATTTCTAACTGGCCACCAAATTTGGCCGATTTGATATAATGAGTACCCCATCGAGATATGAAATCACCTGAACGATAAGCATTTAAGCATGATTGTGTTAATTTATTCATGGCTAGAAATGAATGGCAGTCAGCGCAACACATCGCAGGCGTCAAATTTAGGGAAATTATGCGTCAGCGACTCACTGCACTGTCTAAACAATGACAAAATTGATCAGATTCATATGAGTGAATGTATTTTGCATTTTATGTCTTTTATCAACTTCTTTATGAATATTGAATATGACTTTTTGTCACTCGTTGCATAATTGAATACGGCCAACTTTTATGCACAAGGGACATCTCGTAAAAGGAAGATTTCCACAGCAAAATATTGTAAAAGTTTTCCAATTTTTGCTCTGTTATTTTCAATTTCGCGCTATTTTGAGCCATCGTGTATCTCTTTTAATTGGCCAGCGGCAATACACATTAATGTTTAGTTTATGGAGTACCAGGTGGGAAGTTTGCTGTCGCTGGTCAGTAAATTGCGGGCGCTAGCGAAACGTTTGCCTTAAATTATTAAAACGAGCAACAACAAGTTTTTGTGCTTCTCGTTTCTGCATGAAAGAACAGTGGATGTGCAAGAATTTAATTTCGTTTATTCAAAGGCTACATATATTGAAAAATGTTCTGGATAAGAGACTTTAAAGTGCCTATGCGGCAATTTTTTATGATTGAATTGCAAAGTTCATTTAAAATCATAATATAACTTGTTTTCTAAAACTTTGTATTCTTTCCTGTATGTAAAGATTTTCGACTTTTTTGATATACAAATGTGACTTAAATGACGTCACACTTCATAATGAGTTTTTAGAAAGAAAACGTTTCCTTGCCAAACATGTGATAATTCCATTGACATTGAAAGTAATATACTTTAAGAGCTATCAAAGCGATCATTTCGTCTTTAAATTTGAGATAATGAGAATTTTAACAAGCTACAGCAGGAAGTTAGAGTCTTCTGTAAAACGTATTACGCAGTGTGACGTCATTTAAGTCACATGTGTAAATCAAACAAATTGTGCCCGGCAATTGATAAAACTAGAATAGTGAACCGAATAGTGCGAATAGTCGACGAATAGTACGAATAGTCCGCGAATAGTCGACGAATAGTACGAATAGTCCGCGAATAGTCGACGAATAGTATGAATAGTCCCCGAATAGTCGACGAATAGTACGAATGGTCGACGAATAGTGCAATAGAGACTTTGCAAGGTTTTGCAGCAGTGCTGTAGAACTAAATTTACCGGGGGGGCTCTATTGACAAACATGAAGTCGTGAAACATTCGTTGACGTACGTCAATGACGTCATACGTAACCGGTAAAAATTACGGGAACCACTGAGTATTTTAATTGAAATATAAAACAACGGTAATTTCGTAAATAAACATTTTAATATTCTAGATTTCAACTAAAACGGATCGAAAGCTTTGCAGTAATATATTTATGTGGTGTTTCCACAAACAAAAATTCAGTCATCGTCAGG